GCACGGCTGCAGGACACGGGTGTACATTCATGGCTGTGTATTCGACAGTATAATATATAATTGACCCTTTTCACATTTCCGGGTTTCTCAGTAGCAGAAGTTGTCATAGTTGGGAAACTGTGTGATGCTATCAAGTCAATATGGACCAAAATCTCTGAGGAATATTTCCAGTACCTTGCTGAATCTATGACATGAAGGATTAAGGCAGTCCTGAAGGCAAAAGGGGGTCCAACCCGGCACTAGTAAGGTGTAACTAATAAATAGGCCAGTGAGTGTGTATATATTTTTTTGTATTGATTTGTATTTTATATTTTTCTATTTACTAATACACAATATTTACACACCTGCGGTTCATTACCGAGTGGCAACCCCTGATAAATAAGGCGTACACAAAACGCCTTATTAAAACGCCTGAGTACACAAGCAATGTGTAAACACAAACTTTTATTTTTGGATGTGATTCATCAAAACTAAACATTTGACAGCACTAATAATGATTAATCTTTGCCCAGCACAAATTATGCCTAGTTCTATGGAAGGCCAAATGGATCAAACTGCGCCTATTACCAGACGCGTATCATCCCCAAAACGCCGGTATTTTCGGCGTTTAAGACGAAAAGACAGCGAAAATCACGGCGTTTTGCATTACAAACACCGCAATTACGGCAATTTGCAGGTCAAAATCGGCGCAAAAACTGCGTTTTTGGATCCAGCCAAGAACGCCATCTTTGACGCCGTATGCTAGCCATAATTCACCGTTATTTTCGGCGTTTTTTATGTCAAAGACGGCATAAAAAACGTCGTTTTCTATAATACTATAATTAGCCCCTCCCATTATTTCAAAGTTCAGCCCATGAAGTAGGTTCACACCAGACGCGGAACGCGCGTCAAGCACGAGTGATTTACATGTTAAGTCAATGCAAACGCGCGAATAGACATCCTGCGGCGAGATACGCACGAATGGCGCGGCACGAATGACGCGAATGGCGCTGTGCGAATGGCGCGATACAAGAAAATGGCATGGCGCGAATTGAGCATTTTGCGCGTTTGACGCGCTTATCGCGCATTTCGTGCGAATTACTCGAGTTCGAAAATCTGAACTTAAGCGGACATTCGCGCCGCGTCAACCAATCAGAAGCTTGCTCTTGTGGGGGCGTGATTGTGACGTATCGCCTGTTGATGGGGCCTCCGTCAGCCAGGTTACGTTTCTGGAGGAGTTTATGAACTCACAGAGCTGGATGCACCTCTAAAAGGATGTAGTGGACTCAGACACGGCCCTAAACGTATCGACGCTGTTTTTCAGCCTTCATAAAGCACATAAACACTGTTATTTTCTTAATAAAATTAATGTTAGCTATTTAGCTACGAAGCTAGAGTCACCAGGCAGACAGAAGTCCTGCCCATCACGCGAATCCGCGTCTGTTCTGAAGTGAATTTGACGCGCGAATGAAGCAGATTTGACACGCGAATGAAGCGAGTAACCTCAAATGTTCACGCGGCTATTTACACGCAAATATCGCGATTTATCGCGATTTATCCGCGCGAATATCACGATTTATCCGCGCGTTCCGTGTCTGGTTTGAACACAGCATTACAACACACATTACATTTATAAATGACCATAATAAGACTAATAATAACATCCCCTCTGTGGTAATCTGCCAGTTCTGAGCCATCTAACTCCAAGGTTTCATATAGTCTGTGTGGTATCTGCCTTGAGATTGCATCAGGATTTAATGATATATTCAAATCCTGCCCTATCTGAGGGATTCCCTATGCAAACGCAAGAATGTCAAGAGTTGCAAGAGGGGGAATTCAGTGTGGCTATTTTAGACTGTCTAATCTTACATCTCGGACACAAGCAACTCTATTTCCTGTCAGATGGGCCTGTCAGACTGATGAAGGAGGGGAAGAATCATGAGAAACGACAGGAACAAAGAGACACAGAATATACAAAGACAGATCGGGTTACGGGAAAGCCCCCAACTCCAGAGGAATTCAGGAAAAGAAAGAATAAGCGAGAAGGACGGCTGATCTGATTGGTTGACCCCTTATTGCAGTTTCTTGCCCATATTTGCCTCTTTTGTCCGCTGGTTTCATCCTTCATGCAAGCTTTATCTCCTCGGGGATTGATGATTTATGTTTTGGATCACACTGCAGCCTAATGTTCATGTCTATCAAGTTTACAGTAGTTTTACAGCAAATCACTTAGTAAGCAAGAGTGTAAATGTTCTCCACCAATAACAGATTAAACAAACTCACTGCTCTGAACAAGCAGATAGATATATGCTCACAATGTTATTGTTATCGTTATATATATATATATATATATATATATATATATATAGTTGAAGTCAGAATTATTAGCCCCCCTGAATTATTAGAGTCCCTGTCTATTTTTTCCTCCAATTTCTGTTTAACGGAGAGCAGATTTTTTCAGCACATTTATAATCACAATAGTTTTAATAACTCATCTCTAATAACTGATTTATTTTATCTTTGCCATGATGACAGTAAATAATATTTGACTTGATATTTTTCAAGACACTTCTATACAGCTTAAAGTGACATTTAAAGGCTTAACTAGATTAACTAGGAAGGTTAAGGTAATTAGGCAAGTTATTGTATAACGATGGTTTGTTTTGCAGACTATCGAAAACAATATATAGCTTAAAGGGGCTAATAATATTGACCTTAAAATGGCTCTAAACAATTAAAAACTGCTTTTATTCTAGCCGAAATAAAACAAATAAGACTTTCTCCAGAAGAAAAAATATTATCAGATATACTGTGAAAATGTCCATGCTCTGTTAAACATCATTTGGTATCTGAGTTTCAGGAGTCATTCCAAAGCAGTAAGTAAATCATCTCAAAAACATTGCAAGAGTTAGATGCTTTGTTCCCAGTGAGGATTTAGAGGAACTTGTTCAAGATTTTATCAGCAGCAGGGTGGATTACTGTATGGCCTCCTCACTGGCCTTTCCAAAAACATAGTCAGACAGTTGCAGCTCATTCAAAATGCTGCGGCCAGGATTCTGACCAGTTACATTTAGAACAGATTTTAAAGTATTAGTACTTGTCTATAAATCACTAAACGGCCTATAGGAGCTCAATACATTACAGATATGCTGACTGAATACAACCCTAACAGATCACTCAGATCTCAAGGATCAAGTAAATTACAAATTCTAAGGGTTCAGTCAAAGCAGTTATTAAGTTATTGTATAAAGAAGGTTTTTTCTGTAGACTGAGAAGGGCTAATAATTCAAAATTCAAAGGGGGCTATTAATTCTGGCTTCAACTAGATACACAAAGTTTGGGATCAGTAGTATTTTTCAAAATGTTTTAAAATAAGCTTCTCCTGCTCACCAAGGCAGCGTTTATTTAATAAAAAAAAACCGTACAAAATGTAAAATGGTGAAGTGTTATTGCACTATAAAATAACCATTCAAAAGTAGTTTATCATTTAATTGATTTTAAGTGATTTTAAAGATGAAGTTTCAGCTTCATTACTCCAGTCTTCAGAGTAACACGATCCTTTAGAAATCACTCTAATATTAACTATTATTACTATCATTTTTATTAATAGTATTAAAAGCAATAATGACTGGAGTAATCATTTTATTTGAAATTACATACGATAAGTAATAAATATTTAATAATATTAAGTAAGTATTTAACTTTTAAATAAGTATTTAACTTTTTTTTTTTTTTTTTTTT